GCACTTATTAATAAATTAAAACATTTAGTAATTATTTAATTTTAAAAATAATTTTATTCTCTTCTTCCAAACATAAAAATATTTCATTTTGCTACCACTCTCTCAAAAAGATTAAAACATTTCTTATATCAATCACCAGATAAAGTTTTACATTACTATTAAATGTAAACTTATTAGGAAATAGAAGGTAATTTAGCTATTAAAATATTTTGCCATAGACTATATGAACATATATGGGATCTTTAACGCTTTTGATCATTCCTCTTCTCAATGTGTGCAAGCAAAAAAATATTTACAGACTAAAAAGTTCTTTTTTAAAAAAAAAAAATCCTAAATCAAGCAATCTAAGGAAAAGAAAATGTTGTTTTAGTTATTGCATGTTAGTGGGATATCTCAATCACGAAAGATTTTAAGTCATCCAATAATCAAGGAGCCACTAGTGCTTAAGATCTCCGTATTTGGTAATCTTTATTAAAAGTAATTTTTTTCTACTATATGAGAATATAATCTTTTAAAAGCAATTTAATCTCTTATTTTACTTTTTTTTATTAAACACAGTATACGCCATTGCTATTTTTAAAAAATATTTTTAAATTATTTATACATTTTTTATTGCTATATTGTTTCCATTTAAACCATTTTAAATTTTTTGCTTAAATTAATTGTTCATAATTTTTTTATATAATTTTCAAGATGTTTAGTTATACTTTTAAAGTTTTATTTAAAATTATAAATTACTCATAATATACAAAATACGTGCTACGTAATTTTAACTTAAAACTGGGTTTGTAAATTTTCTTAAATTTAAAGCGAATTTTTAATGAATCTTTGGTGATAGAAGATTTGTTCAGCGCAAAATCTTTTACTAAGGTTGTGGTTCTCGTTATGATCTTGAAATTAAAAAAGCTTCCCTTTACTTTGATTTTTTATTAGAAATATTATGTCATTATTTATATATGATTCATGGGATTTAATTTTTTAAAATATATAAAATAAATAATACAATTTTATTTATTGTTCATTTAAAAAATCTGAGTTTCATTCCTAATAAAAAATCACTAGTAAGGCGACAACGATGACATCATTCCTAATTTCATCCACTTGAAATCACTAGTAAGGCAACAACAATGACATCATTCCCTCAATGCGTAGGGTTTTGAAGATGAGAAAAGAAAAAGAGAAGAAAAAAAAAAAAAAGATAAAAGAGAGAAAAGAAGATCATGTGAAGGAGAAAGAAAATAAAAAATTTAAAGAGAAAGATGAATAATATATTAACGTTTCACGTAATAAAAAAATACAAAAACTTTTAATAAAATTATTTGTAACAAAAAATAATATACTTAAAACATGTTTAAAAGTTAGGAGGACAAAATAAATCAAAATAAAATTGAAGAATAAAAATAAAATTACTTTAAAGTTAAAGAATAAAAATATTAATTTTATCTTTACTTTTTTTTAGTTTGAAGAAAAATAAGTCTTCAATTTTTTATTTTACATTTCTTCATGTAAAGGAACCAAATCCTAATTTGTGATATGTTCCCTGTAGTTGATAGATATCATGTTTTTCTTCCCTATTCTCTTAATAGGAAATAAAAACAAGAAGAAAATAAATGAACGAGATAAGGATTAAAAAAAGGAGACGGCACCCGACCCAAATGCTCCAACAGAAATACATAATCGATGTTAGAAAATATAAATTATCCAAACAGTTATTTCCTAATACATCGAATGCAGACAACAACAGGTTAATCTAACCTTCGCCGTTCTTATCGCATTTATCATTAATTGACACGATTTTGATCGTGAGAAGATTAGTAATACAATAGCAAAAAAAAAGATTAGTAATACATTTTATTTATTTAAAAATGATTAATTACAAAATAAATTAAAGAGTGAGTTACGTACTAAATTTTTCTTTGCCAGATGTTATTACCTCATTAATTGTTACCTGTTGCATCGATAACAGGGGCAATGTATTCGACGCACATAGACGTCATTACCTGTTCTAGTCTGAGTTGAGTTACTACGATGATGACATTTTGACACTTGAATCAGTTTCATAGGCAAACAAATAAATATACAAAGAATATCAAAGCATGAGCTTTCTTCTACAGGAGGTAAGGCTCCTTACGTTTGATAGTATTGTAAAAAAACAATCTTAAACACAAATGTAACAGTTAATTATTACACTTGTTATATTTTTATAGGCAAATTCTTATACTTGTGTTCTTTTATTGAACATAACACTAAAAAATTCAATAAAATAACACTTAAGTCTTGTCATTGATTTAAAGCTCAAATAATCTTAGTCAATTTGGGTGATAAGAAATCAATGTAATTTTTAGCTTAAATTAATTGGATTGTTTTGTGACCTCATCATGTCTCCCAACTACTTTTTCATGGTTTTTGAGAGGGTGGTTTGCTACTTGCCTATTACCCAAAGTTCTTTAATTTTGACTAGTTTTCTGATAGGGAATTGCCATAGAAAATGCCAATGATCAAATCAACCGCAACTTTGAACATATATAGTAACTATGTATAGGATAAACGAAATATAGTCCCAAATATTTGTAGGGATGCCCTTGGAGGTTAAGTAGCACCTTCCTCATGATAAGCATCAATGGAAGAATATTCGATACAACTACTGAGTTGAAATTAAGGTCACTACACAGCAAACAATTTGGCATTGGTAACCTAAATGGTGATATGAGGTGTCTGCTCAGTGACTTACTATATTGGCAGATAGGTGAAATTAAAGAGATTGCTTACTTCATTTCACATTATTTCTATTTTCAATATAATGTACATTTTTTTGAAAAATTATCAATTACACAACTAATTAAGATAAAATAATTTTTTGATGTAAAATATCTTGATTCAAAAGTTACAATATAGTTATATGTGTGTGTAAATATATAAGATAAAAATGAATAAAAATATTATTAAAAAATAATATTTTATTTTTTAAATAATAAATCATTTTAAACAAATTAAATTAGTCAAAGTGATATAAATATAATACCGACGGATCGAGTACTTAGCATGCGTTCTTGCTAGCTAGTATGGTCCACCAGCCAAGTTTCGAAAGACAAAATTTTAATATGATATTTATAGAGAGTGTTTTCTCATCAAAATTGATATTTTATTATGCGTATAAAATATATTTTATTTTAAGTTTAAATAGTTTTTAACTACCTTTAAATAAAGCTTATTTTAAAAAAATTACTTCAGAATTTTCTTTTTCATTTTAATACTTAACTTTTTTTTTTAATTTTATATTTGACGTTAGTTAAATGATGATGTGACTAATAGTTTACTACGTCACTGTCGATCTCTCTTACTACCTCACTATTAAACCACCATATCAGAATCTTGCTAGTAATATCATCTTCATCCACCTCTTCAAATGACAAGAAAAACAAGTTTCTGAACCATGCTTCAAGGTCAAACAAAAATAATTGTTGTTTGTTCTGCCATTGTGCTTCTTCTTCTGCTTCTCCAACTTCAATGCTTTTCAGCATGTACCATTACTCGCCACCATTATCATCATCATTGTCTACCTCGCTGTCTCTTTCTCTGTTGAAACCCCGAAACGGGGTTTCTTCAGTTTCTCGCTACGGTGTGGGGAATACCTTAATCATGGTGGGGTGATGAGTTACAAAGATGTGTTAACTGAAGTGATGAGTTCTTTAGAGAGTTTAAGTTTTAACAAGGGTTCGTCAGTGTCTCCTGCAAAAGCACCGAACTTCCCATGGCTTGATGTTCCTTTGAACTGTGAGGATCAGCAACAACAATTCATTGTTGCGCCTTTTGGTTGTGAAGATAAAAAATAACACTTCATTCTTTCACCGTCCACTACTTAGACACCCACAAGTTTCAATGGCAAATTTTATTGCAGCAAATTCTTAAGCAAGTTGTCATTGCTGACGTTAATGGCTCATATCTCAATTAGGTGAATGAATTGTTGATGTAAGCGCAAAGATGGTGATGAAAATGAGAACGATTGAACGAACGATTTGTAAAGTGAAACTGTAAATACAGTAGGAAGGTTGTAGGCAAAAATCGTTAATTTAGTGGAAGTTGAAAAAGCAACTAAAGAGAAAATAATAAAAACTAAAGAAGAGACTGTGAGACTTCTGTGAAATTCAAAATGTAATGTTTAAGTTAAAATTTAAAAATATTTATGTAGAATCCTAACGTAGTAGTTTAATGGTGAGGTAGATGAGAAAGATTAACAAGTAGCAAATTATTAGTTACACTACCATTTAAATGACGGAAGTTAATGTCAGATATAAAATTAAAAAAAATAGTTAAGCATTAAAATGGAAAAAAATTTCTAAGATAGTTTTTTAAAATAAGTCCTATTTAAAAGTAGTTAAAAAAGTATTTAAACTTTTATTTTATCAACTAATATTTTCATTTCAATCACTAAAATTAATAATAGTTTGCAAAATATTAATTTCGATTAGATAACACTATAAATAATATTTTCGAATTATAGATAAAAATATTTTTACATTATCGAATAACGTAACATGATTACAAAGTTTTATTTAAGAAAAATGGTTTCTTTCTCTCGTTTAATGTGTCAACATGAAAGATCCAAATTGGTGAATCAGTGTATAAGTTTGTCGAGTTCATAACTAGGAGTAACGTAAGAACCAGTTGCGGTCCATGGCGGTTAAGCCACTTAAAAGTCACTCTCCCACTTGGAAACAAAATATGAGCTAAGAGACCAAGTCATGCATTCATATTTATCATTAAATAACCGCTTTAATTATTTTGCAATGGATTATTCTATCTCACCCGATTCCCCTTTATCAAATGGTTACGCTCTATGCCGCCACATCCCTCAATAGTTAACCTTTTTCTTTCATTTGTAAATTTAGAGTTGATTCCTATCCATTACTCCCCAATAAAACCCCCCCTAAAACACTCATTGTTGTCCACGAAACCCTTAGAAATCGAACACGATTTTGGGCACTATTTGTTCTCTTCTCATGTTGGAGAGTGGAGAATACAACTTTGAAGAGGTTCCCGTAACGAATCATCATTGTCGTCGCCGCCACCACCCAAAAAAGAAAGTGATCGTCAAAGATATACCAAAAGGGTTTTTGCCAATCAAGGTTGGGCAAGGTGAAGAGCAACATAAAATTATGGTGCCCGTGATGTACCTCAACCACCCACTTTTTTCTCAGCTACTTAAGGAGGCAGAGGAAGAGTATGGTTTTGATCAGCAAGGAACCATAATTATCCCTTGTCATGTGGAGGAGTTTAGGTACGTTCAAGATCTCATTAATAGGGACAAATCACCCCAACACCACCACCATCACCATGTCATAAGCTGTTTCAGGCCCTCACGTCAACAAGATCAAATATAGCTTTTTTCTTTTTGGTCTTGAATATCAAATATAGCTTGTTTTAATCCTTAAGTGTGTAAATTAAGAAACTCTTATGATATATATTAAATACTCTATGTATAAGCATGTTTCTTCTTCATGGCCAAGTGGTTACTTTCAATCCTTATATATATATGAACTATAAGATCGGCATGAAGAAGCTCAAAAATTATAGATCAAATAAGCTTCTTTGCGTGCAATTGAACTTAATTTTTCCATTTATGTGTTTGCAAATGTAATGGAAAGGGGAAAAAAATCGTTTTCTTTCTTTTTTGCCTGTGTTTTTTTTTTCTTGTGAGGACGAATTTAATGGGAATATAATGTTGTCTTTTGTGCGAGAGAAAGAGAATCACTGTGAAGATACAAACACCAACTTGCTGCAAAAAAAACAAATGGCTAATTATAGGTCGAGCACGCTTTTCGTAAAATAATTTATTTAGCATATACAGGCTCAGAAAACAAGATATCTTCTACTGCATGAAGTAAATTGGAGGGAATCAGTTAAAAAATCTAGAGAAAAAAAAAATTCTCAGCCAAAATTGATATTGTAACTATTTGTGCAGCTTATAAATCGCTGAAGCAAATGGCCCCATTTCGAATTATTAAAGATCAGACCAACCGTTACTGTTTGATTTTTAATTTGCGTTAAAAAAAAGTAGGTTAAGATAACGATATATGTATACAAAAAAAAAGTATAAAGATATATGCAGGCAGATGGAAAACAAAAACGTCACATATCATATTTTGATTTTAATAATAAACCATTTTATTATTAACGTATACTATTTTCCGTTACTAATCAATTAGGCTGCTGAAGAAATTATATACTATTACCCTATGTAAAACTGGTACATATGTTATGCAAAAATGCTCATCGGAGCATCATTTTTAAAAAAATTATAGGTAACATGTCATACAGGCAATAAATAAGTTTGGTATATATAGTCAATGGTTGCTTGGATGCTTCCATACTTGCTAGCTCGTGTGGTGGAATTTCTGAATCCAAACAATAATTAAGATTAGTGTAATGTTTTAGCTACTAGCAATATATATATATATATATATAGACCTTCCACACATTATTCTTAGCGAAGACAGTTATGTTTATTAAACTCGTTTTTGGAATTCCGGTGCATATTTCAACGCCCACTCTAAAAGATCTTTCATTTTCTGTGTTTAATTGTTCGTAACAATCCATGACTAATCGTGATTTTTTATCCCCGTCTGGATTTCGTGTTTTCCGTTTGCTGGTTGATTGAAATAGTAGTTGAAGGTGTTTTCCGATTCACTTACTACAAGAGCTACGAGACAAATATATATTGCAGGCAAATAGATACTACATCAAAAAGATGTTTATCTCTTTCATGGCCAAATTATAATTAAATTACATAAATAAACTTAATCGATGAATGTTATAAGACATACAACATGAAGGTGGTTTAAAGTGGCGGTTCTCGGACAATTTCTAAACTCAAGGGAAGATGCCTTTGACAAAAACATGAAAAGCATAAAGGTTTTATCTGAAACTAAAATAGTAATTAAAAGGAAAAAATTATCTATATAAACCAATTAATTTTGTTTTTTTTTTCATATAATCCTTCCGCAACTCTTTCTTTGTAATTAAATAAGTGTAATCTTATCAGACTTATTAATCATTAAGAATAAATATTAATTAGCGGCACGTGTTAATATATCAGTTGGTCAACAGGACATAGTTTGATTAACTTCTCATAATTTTGGTACTATAAATTCTCTTTGAAAGTTATCACCTCTGTTATATATGTTTTTTTAAGTTTGTTTTATGCATTTCAAACTATTTATTATTTTAGAAAATAAAAAATATTATTTTTTAGTAATAACTTAATTTATTTCACCTATACACTTAAATCAATATGTAATTACTTTTTAACTCTTTTAATAAGAATAGTTTTATTAAAAATATTTTATGATAATAATTAATGTTATTTTTGTAAAAGTGTGCATTATTTTAGAAAATAAATTGGAAGCAGATTAAGAAATTTAATCAAAAAACATAAAATACATTTTTTTAAACGAGTCACTTAATTTTTATATTTTAACTGTTAGATTAAAATTTTATAATTTAAAATACGACAAGTTTATCAAACATTTGAGATGTCGATGTATACTCAACAAGTTTTATTAATTTTTCATCAAATAATATAATTTTTATTTCGCACAACATTGGTCTGCCATTGATTAATGCTGAAGAAATATGATGTCATAAAACTTGGGCAAGATGATAGCATACTAAGCAACTTCCCCATGCAAGTTAAATTTGTCTTGTTGTAAAAGGTTGACCAATATATATATATATCCAAAAATATTTATAAAATAAGTTTCTTAAAGTAAGTGGATTCAATTGTCATCGATATATTGATCAGTCCAGCAGTTATGTTTGACCAATGGGAGATAATGCACTGAATATAATATCTTATAACACTATCTGCCTCTTGTTTTTAAAAAAAATTAGACTTAATTAAATAAAAGTTTTACACTATCAATTAATTAAAATGTATTATAAATATAATTTTTATATTAATTTTATTACATAAATAATAATTTTTACTGATATGATAATTTATGATTAAGTTATAACATAAATAATTTTCATACGGTTATTGTATTTAAATAAATTAAAAAATTTAATAATATAACTCCCTTGTTAAACAATTATGTTTAGTGCACTGTAATTAACTTTTAAGATAAGTCATGCTCACATCACTTGATATTAAATAAAAATTTTCTTAATACCATTTTTACCATATAAAAATATTATTTATTTATTTATTAACATAACAATGTATATCTTTTTTTAAATTCAAAATACCTTAATTTTTTATATAATTATATGAATGATATATTTTTTTAAAAAACTTCTCTTGGTTCATATTTATTTTTATAAACAAAAACATGAATCAGAGTTTTTTCCTAAATTTCATTACAATTAATTAATCATATAATTTCAAACCCAAATGGCCCGTACGTGAAAACTTCTTAGCCAATTCATGTGGGTTCCTATTTTTATTTTTTTTTAAGTTTAAAAGAACGCTTGTAATACATTAATAGGTTTGTAGTAGCTTGAGTTATTTAGCATAAGATAATAAGCACGTGATGAATATATTGTCCAACACTTCCAATACATGAGATTTGAAAAATCAAATTAGAGATCCTTACTTGTGTCATTGGTTTAGACTAATTAATGAGAAGGTAGAGATTTGAGTGAAAGAGGTTGTGATACCTTCAAGTTCCACATTACTAATAGGCTAGCGATTAAGCAATATATATTGTAGACAAACGTATATTATGATAAAAAAAAATTTGTAAAACGCGAAAATCGAACAATTTGCTAATAAAATGTTTTCAAATAAAAAGTAAAACACAAATTGTAGCAACATGCTATTAGTATTTTTATTCAACTACGTACATGGGCATATTCAAATAGATTAAGAATCAATATATAAATTAAAAATAATACCTATCTTACAAAACCTTATTCAGTCAGTTCAGAAAATAATTTGACAGTTAATTCACAATTTACATTTTCGCAAATTACTAAATATGTAAAATGACATACCTGCTAATGAACAATATAAAGATTTTTCACTGTTCATGCATTATTATGATAAGTCTTAGCTAGCAACTCCATCAATCATGCTGTTCAGTCGACGATTCCTAGTCAATTTTAATCAAGTTTTATGAGATTGGAAATTCGGAGTACGCAAGAGAAACAACTAGGAAGTAGGATTCAAACTTGTGAAAGAGAGACGATAAAACATAAGAATCGAAAGAAAGTGAAGACGAAAGGATGACTGGTTACCCAAACTTCGATTATCAATACACGTCAATCAATTTTTCTAGTATTTTTAATTAATCAATGTCTTTAAGATATTGTCAGAAGAACTTAGTGTTGAACTTTATGCTAAAGACAAATATGTTTGTATCCTATAATCTATTTCCCACCAACATTTTTTTTAGTGAAAAGTGTAATTTTTTAAATAATATAATTTATATTTTTTTGAAACATAATTTTTATTAAATATAATCATTTTAGAACATTGTTAATTAGATGGTTGACCTATTGTTCCTGTTAAGTACTTAGAACATGAATTTGATTCCAAAACCACTCGTTGTTAAGTGACATATAATTCTATCATAAATTTTCTGAGGTTGATAAGATAAGTATATTATATTCTAAACTTTTCATGTAAAGAAATTATTTATTTTGGTCATGAATGTGAAAAAAATAATGATAATCAAATTATTAAAATTACATAAATATATGATGTATGATGAGTAAACCTATACGTGGAATATATTTTTATTTTAGAGTCAATTTGATTCGATTTTCGTTGTAATGATTGCATTCGAATTTGTACATCGGAAAAAAATGATTATCGACAATGTATAAAATACATAGAAAAATGTTACACCCATGCATAGTGTTAGGAGCCTTAATAAAATTTTATAACATATTTTTAGAATGATAATTTTTTTAGTATATCACCTACATTTTTTATTATTTTTAATTTATAAAAACAAAATTGCACAAATTATTATACAAATAATTTTTTAGATGTTAGAGTAGGTCACCTAATTCACTAATAGTCCATAATGTGTCTATGAACCTGTTTACTCGTTCTGCCTAAAACTTGACCTGATTTGTTTAGAAAAAAGTAGGACAATATTTTTTAAAATATATTTAATTAAACAAGTTAAATTTCATATATTTGAAAAGATATTTTAAGCTTGACACATCAATCATTTTTTAGAGGCTTTATTTAAAATAAACTCATTAAATATTAACCTCCCTAAATAAAAAGTTTGTATAAACTGAAATCAAGTGTATAATATTTAAAAGACAAGGCCTTTCCATTTGAATAAATCTCACCCATTTTTTATCTATTCATATGTGCAATCAAAATTAGATAATTTTCGTAAATATTAAGATAAAAATAAAATAA